CAATCAAGGTCTTTAGATTGATAATGTTAAGGTCTTAAACTTTACTAATATGTTTGATAAGCTTGGTGTTTTACACCATTACTCTTGTGTTGAATGCCCCAAAATAAACTTTGTTAAACAACACAAACACCAACACAATCTCAATATTACTTGTGCCCTATTTTTTCAATCTAGTGTTCATACCAACTTTTGGAATGAATGCATTTTAACCACCACCTATCTCATAAATGGAACTTCATCTACAACATTAAATTATAAAAGACCTTATGATGTTCTTCACAAACAAAACATAGACTAATCTTAACTTCGTGTCTTCAAATGAATAGGATTTATTTCTACATTACCTACTCATCGAACAATGTTTGAACTTAGAGCTAAAACATGTGTTTGTTTGGGATATCAGACATGAACTAAGGGATATAAAATGTATGATATTGAGAAAAATCTTTTTATAGATTCAAGCGATGTAGTTTGTATGAAAATTGGTTTCCCTTTCATTGTATCAGTAGGCAAAATGATTTCATTGATTTTTTTTCCCAACATCGTTCTTCCCAATCCTTTTTGTGACATCAAGACCATAATTGATGCCATCGAAACAACAAAACCTTGCAACATTATGCATGCCACCACACCCACATTCCTGTTGATAACACTACCCAACACACTTTATCGTGTTCTAATAGAATTATCACCACTCCATATCTAAAAGATTATCATTGCATTTTACTTCACAACAACAACCAAAATATTCCTACCATTCTCCATAGAAAAAACCATTATCCTTTATTAGATTATGTTAACTATAATTCCTTACCTCAATCCTATATAGCATACATTTTACATATTTCTTCTTAAGAGGAACCAAAATATTATTATGAAGCAATTCAATTTCCTAAATGGTGCAATGCCATGAATATTGAACTCAATGCCATCATTAAAAACAACATTTTGTCCATTGTGGGCTTACCCCAAGGGAAGCATGTCATAGGTTGTAGATAGCCTGGATCAAACACGATTCCGATGGATCCACAAACAAACATAAAGGTCATCTCGTTGTGAAAGGTTACATGCAACAAGAAGGAATTGATTTTCTTGATACCTTTTTCCCGGTTGTCAAAATTGTTATTGTAAAACTTCTTCTTGCGCTTACAACCAATCAAAATTGGGTTCTTAATCAACCATATATCAGTAATACTTATTCATATGATAATTTACTAAAAGAAGTGTGAATGGAGTTGACAATTGGTTATTAAGGCAAGGCTGAGATTTTCCACAAAGGCCACATACCTAATTGTAAACTTCACATATCTATTTATTGTCTCAAAGAAGCCGCTTGGCAATGGTTTTCAAAATTTATTAATCAACTTATTTCTTATGATTTTATTCAATCATAATAAGATTATTCCTCATTCACGAAAGGTTTAGATTTGAACTTTGGTGCTTTGTTGTTTTATGTGGATGTCATTATTATCATATAACTATTTATTGCTACCATTAATTCTTTCTTTTTTTAACATACTCAATTTCAACTCTCGAATCTAGTGTACTAAAATATTTTCATATGATTAAAATTACTCTTTCAAAATATGGAATTATTTTGTCTCAACGCCATTACATACTTCTATTATTAGAAGACGCAAGAATGTTAGCATGTAAACCAACTAAAAATCCTATGGACCCCAACAACAAATTAAATGCCTTTGATGGGAACCTTCTTCCCGATGCATCATAGTATAGATGACTAATTGGGTCAATATATATCTAAACCTAGAACTCCTCATATGGTGATAACACATCACCTCCTACGTTATTTAAAGTTTACACCAAGACAAGTTATTTTGTTCTCAAGTTCATGTAGCATACAACTAAAATCTTTAAATAACGTAGGAGGTGATATGTTATCTAAGATTCATCATACTTACATTTCATTCGTGATAAAGTTTCTAATAGATTCATCAAACTAGTGCTAATTTAGTCTATCAACTTGTAGATATGTTTACCAAATCTCAACTATAAGCTCGCCTTTCTTTTCTCCTTTCCAAGATGGTCGTCAAGGATATCTACCCTTTACCTTGAGGGGGAGTACTACATATATTCCATTTCGCCTGTTACCCACAAATTATCTAATTTCCGCATAAGACAATCCATTGTATTCTTGCTTTAACTTTTTTATCAAAAACTATTTCTATATTTATTGGTCAAAATGGTATTTTAGGCGTGCAAGAATAAAATAATACATTTGGCATTTTTTTTGTTTTTACCTCTTCCTGATATCTAAGGAAGCACATCATCCTTATAAGAAGTGATAGTGTTACACATAGCAATAAAGCAAGAGATGCCAAAATCATTGAAGGGGCTTTGCGTACTTTGGTGTTCCTAACTGCCCACTTCTTTTTGATAGATCCCCAGTATAGTAATAAAGACAGTTGATCTTTTGCATCCGCTTCAAGATATGACGACTAATAAAAGAATCTCAATCTTGGGGTAAACAACTTATGTTTACTTCAATTTTCTTCTTGTACCTAGGGAATGAGATTCTTCTTGTTTTACTGCAAATTGAGGAGCAGTTTTGTTTCACTCATATAACTATCTGGTTTCACTCATCGAACTGAAATTTTTCATAAAAAAGATGAAGATATTTATTCAAGACATTCAATTTCTTTATTGAATTTAGAAACTTTATACTTTAATAAAGTAAGTGAAGATAAAGAAATTAATAAAAAAAATTCTTTTATTCTTGCTATAAAGCACCTAATTCCACTAGCTCTCTACTGCTCGAACGAGCTACAATCAAAAATGAAAGAAAAAGACCTGCGAGCCTGTGGTTCTTCATCCTAAGAGTACAATAGATGCAAAACAAACTACTAGGGCTGAAAGCATACGCCACCCAAAAAAGGAAGATCATCAAATAGACGTTCAACACCTCAGGCCAATGGTTCCTAAATAGAAAGCTGGCATTTAACCAATGGTCATGGTAAAGTAAGCTGGAACCAATCCTAAAACTAACTCCACCACGCATTTGAGAGGTTGGAGAAACTTTACCAAAGTGAAATATTTTATCAATTTGCTGAATACAAATGCAGCACATCAAGTATTCACATAAGTGCTAATAAGACTGAAATTGTGAAAGATTCTCAAAATAATTTTCATCTTACAAGAAAGAAGCCACTCTTAGATTTAGGCATAGTGGTCTACTACCGAGCAATATTGTAGAGCTTATGATGAGCCTCATGATAGAAAACACTTGTAGATCTCAAGAATTTCCTATAAATCCTCAGAAAACAACAAGAATTCTCCACAAAAATCCACACAAAATCCCAAAAACAGTAGATAATTTATATTTTTTGATAAAAGGTAAACAAAAAGTACCAAATACAATTGATCCTCTATTTGAGAGGAGGATTTATCTCTCCCAAATCTCTAGGCACCATAAGAGCCCAAAACCTAAACCCAAGAGATCTCAAATTTCAACCAATTAAAAATACCCTAATCCTAGGAAAACAAACTATTTAATGGATACAGTCTCAAAGGAAATCTCTAAACAATCCCTACATTCAATTTTCCCTCCCAACTCCATAAAAAAACCTTCCTAAAAAGCTCTTTGAAACCTGGCAGTTTTCTTGGCATATGCAAGAGGCGGAGAATTCCACCTCTGTATCTGTAAGTCAGTCTCGTCTGGACTAATTAGACCCGTCCAATGGACCGGTCTATCACATCACTATCAAAAAGAAATCACGAGCACCAACTTTCAATAGTCTTCAGAACAATTTATAAAATAAAGATATAAACCAATAAATCAAAAAGCTTAATATAATGTACTTAAAATGCTGGAGCATGCAAAGAAAAGATAGGAGTTTGCACTTCCAACAAGAGAGCCAACATCCAAAGCTATCAAGGAGAGGGGCATGATTCTTAGCAAGGATTCTAGAAGGCAAGATGGGGAGACCCATGTATTTGAAGGCCCATGTATTTGAAGGGGTAGAGGTGCATTTGATGCTAAACATCTACAGCTTTCTTAGTATTCTGGAAGCCTGTAAACAGAAACTCTACTTTTCATTAAAAATAAACAGAAACACTCTACTTTTCTTTATTTATTTTTTTCTTCAATCCCAAAATTACATCTTTCTAAGTATTCTGGCAGCACATTTACAGAACTGCAAACAGTCAAGCGAGCATGTCAATGGCAACCCATCCCACACAGAAAATAAAATTACACAACTTGAATCTGTGGTTTTTTTTTCTGTAAATTTATAATCAAACCCAGAACTACTTGATAACATTATAAAAAAGAAAAAGAAGAGAAGAAATGCTACATACAATAATTATAACAAAAGGGAGGTTGTATGAACAATGTTTGTCAAGGAACTTGGATATTACTATACAACCTGAAACACAGAGCTTATGCTCTTTCACTACCTTGCATTGAACAACATCCTTAGCACATTTCGCATCTTTGGCCTTACATCTGGAGAAGAACTTACACAACTCAGAGCTATCTTCAAGACTGACAGCATCTGACTGCAAACTGCAGGAGAAGCATTACAGACTTTCAAATCGAGAATTTTCTCCCTCCCACCAAGCCATGTTGAGTGGCTAAGTGCCCACTTTGCAAGCTCAATTCCTTCACTAACAGGTGACTGTCCTGTCAGCAACTCAAGAAGGATGACGCCAAAACTATAGACATTACCTGCCATTGTAACCCTCATTGTGTATGCATACTCTGCAATCACGAAACGACAAAATTAAGAATTCGATACTAAAATAATTCAAAATTAATTCAAGTAATGCTTCACTTAGATTAGATGCAATTTCCATAGCAGAAATATTGCCATAAAAAAGAGAAGTTGTGGTCAAGAGAATATTAAACTCTTGATACAGCCGATGAAACCAAATAAGATTGGTGGCAATAATGACTAAGGCACGATATTCAGCATTCGTGGATGATCGAGCAACTAACGATTGCTTTTTAATTGACCAAGACATGAGAGTGGAGGCAAGGAACACTTAGTAACCTGATGTAGACTTTCAGTCATGATTACCACTGACTCCATCGAAATTTGAGTAAGCTCGGAGAATAAGATCTCCCTTTTGAATAAGTAGTCCATGAGAAATGAGCCTTGTAGATACCATAGAATACACATAAGTCATATAAAATGACTTTCTAATGGCAAATGCATGTGTTAACAGATTTTATTTACCACAAATGAAATATTTGGGCGAGTAATTGTAAGATATTGAAGGGATCCAATAAATTTGCAAAACAGAGTAGGATCAGGAAACATGTTTTGTTTATTTGTAGCAGGAGAGTTTTTAGAGGCAAAGATTTTGTAACAAGTTTACTGTATGCGGATTGTAGAAGATCCGAAATGTAGGACTGTTGATTTAAGTGATAACCAGCAGGATGCAAGCATACTTCAATACCAAGAAACCGAGAAACATAGCCCAAATTGAGCTAATTAAATCAAATGTGAAGAGAGTGTAGCAGTTCAAAAATGAACTTGTTGCTGTTACCGGTAAGTAAGATGTCATTGATATGGATAAGTACAAAAATATAGACGTTTTGGCAATGATATAGAATTAGTGATGGTTGTCGAAAATGAGACATTGGGAGAGAGTTGCATATCATTATCGGAGAGCTTGTTTGAGATCATAGATAACCTTCTTGATGAGATAAACATAGCCAAGATATTACGAATTTTTGAAGCCTGGTAGTTGTTTAAGGTTAAAGTTATTTAATCAACTTAAGAGTATAGTTGGATTTCATTCATATTTTATGGATATTGGGTAGTTGTTTCGGGTTAGATGCTATGATGATTTTATTGGTGGACACAAATTATTGAAGTAATGTATTTCGACTGATTTAAAATTATTTCATAAATTTTGTTTTGCTCGCACCTTTCCTTTGGGTGTTTGTGATTTTCTTTCCCGCCAAGTGGCGTGGTGTGACAAAGTGGTATCAAAGCACTAGGTTTGATCTTCTAGGCCTAGGCATAATAGGGATTTTTTACATTTGCAACTAACAGTTTTGAGATTTGTGACCTCCAAATGAGATAGTTATCTTTGAGAAGTTAAGTGCATACATTGTTTTTTATGTTAGATATAAAAAATTAGAGTTGTGACGGAATGGTGATATCAGTAAGTTTGATTAGAGCAGTGTCAAGGGATTGTTGCTCTGATATCATGCTGAAACGGCTTGAAATATTACTGCGGAAATTTTAAAAAGTAGATAATAGAAAGATAGAATACAGGAAGAAGATAAGTAAACAGAAGTGCAAATAGTAGAAATGTTGTAACTAAGTATTATCCATCGACTATTACAAATGTTGTATATTTACATATACCAAGTTTTCTAAAGAACCAACAGTGTATAAAAAAGTTGGAGGTTAGCAGTGAACAATGAAGGTTTCAGAGCAGAAAGAGTAACTGATTTTTCTTTAGGAAGGGCACAGGTAATTATGCTAACTAATGAACTCATGGGTGAGTGCTGAGCTGTTATTATGTCATGATTGAACAAACGAGCTAATTATTTAGCCAAGCCAGACTCAAATTGAACCTAAATTAAGTCAGGCCTGGCTTGAATTGAGCTGACTTTAAATCAAATCAAAATGTATATTCATATATATATGAATGCATATATAAATGTATGTAATTATATTTTCATTATTGCATATATACATTTATGAATCAATATATATTATTGTCATGATTGAACCAACAAGCTAATTATTTAGCCAAGTCCAAATCAAATTGAACTTAAATTAAGCCGGGCCTGACTTGAATCGAGCTAACTTTAAATCAAGTCAAAATGTATATGCATGCATATACGAGAGCATATATATATATATATATATATAATGATGCATATTTGCATTTATGAATCAATATAAATGTAAGAATTTATCTTAGAAGATGGAAAGTCTCGAGCTCAAATTAAATTTTAATCCAAGCCTGTCATGAATGAAGATCAGAGTGAGCAAGGCTATAGATAGTCATGACTCTGCTCAACATTAGATTATATTGTTAACAGCAATACATTCAAGTAGAAAGAACAAGTGCGTCACTTTACCTGGAGGAATATAGCCAACAGAGCCGGCAACAGTGGAGAGGTTCCCAGTGCTATTAGAAGGATCAATAACCTTACATAGCTCGATATCGCCAATCTGAGGCTCCTTCATGGACTTCAAGTGGATAGTCTTTGTTGAGAGGTCGAGAAGGAGAACAGGTTGATTGCAGCTATGCAGAAAAGTAAGCCCCTGAGCAACACCAAGCGCAATGCTGTATCTCGATGGCCAATCCAAAGCAGTTTCCGAACCTACATGAAGAAAATCAAAGAGTGTCCCTTTGTGAATATGCTCATAGAAGAAGTAAGCACTATCCTCAGTCAATACATAGGCCAATGGAACCATAATATTTGAATTGCTCAGCCTCCCTAAAACCTCAAGTTCATGCTCGAACTTCTCATGGCTACCCATTTGTAAAATCTTCTCGCTCCAATTAAGTTTCTTTACAGTGTAGTTTCTTCCATTAGGCATGGCTGCCTTGTAGTAGGTAGAAAACCTGGTCTTAAGCATAGTGTTGCTCGGATTACCAACAAGCTCCATGGCTTTGAAAAAATCTAAGCCTGTTTTATGATTGCTATTAGACGTAATGAAATGGCCATTACAAATCTGAGGAAGAGCATTATCTCCTGATTGATGAACTTCATCTTCAACCCGATACATTCTCTTGGACATGATCAGTCCAAAAATAGCAGCTATGAGCAAGAATCCAGCAAAAATCCCAACAATAACAACAATCACAATCAAAACAGTACTTGATTTTCTTTTCCTGTGGACATTGCCTTGAGCTGATGCTGACTTGTTAAGTATCCCAGTTCCAGCAAAACTTACAATGGTCTTTGGGTTTAAGGGAGGCAGTAATCCTGAGAGCAAACGATTGTTCGATAGCACCAATTCTGTCAAGCTTTTCAGTGCGATAAAAGAATTAGGAACCGAGCCTGTAAAGCTATTATTTGAGAGATCAAGAATCTCAAGCTGGGTTGCTTCACCGAGTTGAGAAGGTATAGATCCATTCAAGTTGTTACCAGTGAGATTAAGAGCTAAGCTTAGACTTGTTGGCATGTTCGGGACAATTCCGCTGAGCTTGTTGTTTCCTAGAAGAAGCTCAATGATGTTTGGCAAACTTGATAAAGAAGCTGGTATTGAACCATTAAGATTGTTATTTTCCAGATTCAAGACTTGAAGCTTGCTCAAGCTGGAGATTGCAGGAGGAATGGCACCAGTTAGAGAATTCTGACTCAGATCAAGAGTACTCAAGTTTGCAAGATTGGAAAACTCTGCAGGAATCTTCCCAGTGAGTATGTTTTGTTTAAGTTGTACGATCACTAGCTGATTAAGTCTACCAAGACTCACAGGCAAACCACCATGCAGAAAGTTCTTGGCCAGATTCAACAAAGCTAAGCTCTTACAGTTGCCTAATTGTTGTGGAATTTGTCCCTCCAATTGGTTGTCGTTAAGTTCGAGATAGGTCAAATTCAAGAGCTGCCCAAGTTCTGAAGGGATGCTTCCATTGAGTAAATTCTTGCCAAGCCTTAAACGATACAGGTTCTTTGAAAAGTTACTGGGAATTGGACCTTGAAGAACATTAGCAGAGAGATCAACAATCTGCAGGGAAGCAGGTGCGAGGAGATCAGGAGGAATCGTTCCATTGAGATTATTGTAGCTGAGATCAAAAATCTGCACGTAGGAAGTGATTCCAGGAGGAATTGCGCCATTGAACTTGTTCTGATTGGCAGCAAATCGGGAAAGCACCTTAATCTTGGACAAACTAACCGGCAGTGAACCCTCAAGTTCATTGGAAGAAAGCAGGAGCTTTTGCAGCTTTAAGAGGTTTCCAATATCACCTGGAATTGACCCAGTGAGGGAATTTTGGCTGAAGTCCAAGAAAGTGAGGTTCTCAAAGGTAACAGTTTACACGAGGGATTTCGCCATGAAAGCTATTATTGGAGAGACTCAACTCCTCTAACTTCATGGCTTTCAGAGCTGGAATGTTGTCATTGAATAAATTGGAACTCAGGTTTAAACTTTTCAGCTGCGCAAGCCCGTTCAAGTTCAAACCAACGACACCCTTCAAGTTATTGAAAGATAAATCCAGAGTTTCCAAAGCAGAAAACTCCGAGAAATTACTTAACCGGCCGGTTAATCCATTACAGCTGAGGTTGAGATACTTCAATCGAGAAAGCCCTTTGCAGGAAAAGAAGGAGGTCGGGATTATGCTAAAGGAGTTAGAGGAAAGGTCGAGGGATTGTAATGAGCTCAGGTCGCAGAGGAGTTCGAAGAATCTAGGAGAAAAGGAGGTGGAGAGGCCGAAACCGGATAAAACAAGTCCGGTGACGCGGGAAGAAGAACAGCTTACTCCTTTCCATTCGCACGGATTGCTATTGCTAGTGTTCCACTTCGAGGATGGGATACCCTTGGCGAGCTCGAGCATGGTGCTCTTCTGGTCTTGCGCACCGTGAACGATGACAACAAAGAAACAGAAAAAGAAGACAATGAACCTAAGAGGTATCAGAACATACCTGATCTCCATTCCCACCCTCTCAAAACCTCCTCCTTTCCTTCCCTTCCCTTCGTGTTTATATTCCCCTCCTTCAAACTCTTCATTAAAGAAAGACCCCAAGAATACAGGAGCAGAAGATTCCCGTTGTCAATCACGCGTGGTTTCGAACCAAAAAAAACAGTGACGAAAGAGCCGTAAAAAGAAAATAATAATAAACGGAGAGAAATGCGAAACTTGGGGTTGGATGCGAAGACTCGGACAGTAAACTGCTCAGTCTTCTGACTTCTATGATAGGTTTCGTGGCGGAGAGGGCCAAGCCGTAAAAAGCAGGCTTGACTGCACAGCGAAGAAGAAAGCACAGAAGACTTGGACTCGAGACTTGGACCAACGGCGTGGGTTCCCATTTCCTTCCCCAATCTATATTAAGCAGAAAGTTCTAATTTTGGATCTCGATTGGCTCGCCTGCTCTGCCATTCTGCTTTGCCCTCTCCTTGCGTCTGTGTTTTCTTTGTTTGTTCTTCTGCGCAGATTTTTTTTTTTTTTTTTTGAAAAATGGGGCAAGAAGCCCATATATTACTATGTGAAATAGAAAATACAAATAAGGTATAAAAAAAAGGTTAATCCTCATACAAAAAGAAGAGATATAATCAAAAACCTATACCAGAGAAGGAGCTGTCATCCAAGATGATGTAAGGAACATCAAAATAAGACTCAGACTGCTAATCGCACAAAACCGAAAAAGGGAAAGGCAACACCGAATAAGAAATCTCCTGGTTCCGAAGACCCTCCAAGGAGATGATTAGCAACTACATCATTGTCCAGTAACCAAAAATCTCCGAAAGAATCAGTCCAAGGTTGCTAAAAGCAGCCATCCAAGGAGCTGATAGAACCAGCAAAGCTTCATAAAAAAAATGATCCAGCCGCCTGGGAGTACCAGCAAAACCAACATAGGAGTTCCATCCAAAACAGCCAAAAACATCCCGAACATGGCATATCAACCATAACCACCAGGACAGCAACAAACCACCGAATAGCTAAGCCCCAATCAAAAATCCAGAAAAATGAGCAGAATCACCCCCAGATAGAAACAGATAATAAAAACAGCTTAGTGATACCAAGGAATTCTCAGGTTTTCAGAATGCTTCCAGCATGAGATCTTTGCATCCACCGCATATTTAATAATGAAGCAGAGAGTAGAAACACTTCTAAATTTAAAGTTAAATCTCCTTTCATTTCGCTCCCTCCAAAGATAGTAAGTGGCACAGCAAGTTGTAAGAAGTAGAAATTCCCTTTGGTTTTTATGTGATAGCTCTTATCAGCCAAGCATTGCAAAACTTGAGAAAGTCGGGGTCTCAAGAGAAAATCACCCAGAGAGCAGAAATCAGATTTTGTAGCACCGAGAAGGCATAGTCACATTCAAAAAGAATGTGAGAATTAGACTCAATGTGAGAAGAACATAATAAACAAGTGGAAGGCACTACAATATTCCTCCTAATAAGATCCTCCACCGTTTTGAGTCCTCCATTAAGGCCAAGCCAAGCAAAAATAGAATATTTAATGGCATGATGCTTGTGCCACACATGTTTATGCCAATCCACAGTGCCCTCTTCCCTATAGTAGAATTTAATAAAGGAAGACAAAGAAGGCTTTACCCTATCTTTCAAAATTAAGGTATTTATAAGATCAGAATTAGTGTCATTGTGGGCCAAAGCATTATTAAGAGCCTCAGCAACATTACTCGGAAGAAGCCAACCTTCCTTCCTCAAAAAATCCTTAACCGTGGCCTTGTGGGGAATAAAATTTTCAAGATTATAATTTGGAAAAGCATTCAATAAAAAGTTACCATTGAACCAGGGATCCCATAACAAAGCAATGGAACTGTTAGAGTTGGTTTGAAACTGTATGCTAGAGGTGATTTGCATAGCAACCTTTCCAATTTCTTTCCAAAGAGGAGAAGCTTTGCTTTGTTTTGGAGTCCAAGGTGTTCCATATTTAGCATACATGAAAGCAAACAAAGGATAATTGGCATTGTAGAATCTGAATATCAGAGAGATAAAATTTGCAAATTGAAGACCAAATAAATCTGGAATGCCCAAGCCTCCATTCTTTTTAGGTTTGCAGGTATTCTTCCAAGCAATGAGATGAAGTTTTTTGGCCTCCATATCGCCGAAATAGAGAAATTTAACACATAATCTGCTTAAACTCTTAATACAAGATTTAGGAAGGATAGCCCCCCCTAATCCAATAAGCAACAGGGTTGCACACCGCATATTTTAGGAATTTAAGATGACCCCGCGAATGAAAGCAATCTTGCTTTCTAACCAGATAAGTGGTTAGAGATAGAATTAAATAGTGGCTGGAAATCGAATTTATAAGGTTTTTTGGCTGAAATAGGCAAGCCAAGATAAGTCATCTTCTCACAGCAAGAAGAAATGTTAAGAGCTTCACAAACAGCCAAAGGATTATTAATATAACTAGAGAGAATAATCTTGCTCTTCTCATGATTCACCAGCAAGCCAGAGACTTTAGCAAAAGAGTCTAAAGCCTTTCTAAGAACAGCACAGTTATGCATAGATGCATCCCCAACAATGAGGAGGTCATCTGCATAAAGGGATGAGAGAACTTTGTGTCCTTCTTATGTATCCCAATAAATATATCCTGAGAAGAATCATTATCGATCATACAAGTAAAAGCATCCATAACTATGCAGAATAAATAAGGACTAAGGGGGCATCCTTGTCTAATACCCGAAGAGGACTGAAAGTAGGCTTCCAGAACACCATCAATGCAAATAGAAAAGTGGACATCATAGATGCAAGCTTTTATCCAGTTAATGAAAATAGGGGGGAAGTCTTTTTGTCTCATTTTGGCAAGAATAAAATCTTTCCGCTGCGACCGAGGTCTGCTAGGGTTTTGGTGATTTTGCCCTAGCCGATTGCTAATTCCCTTCTTCTCCCCCTCTTCCAGCTTGGCCAGAGGAGCTTCTCTAATGGCCAACCTATCATCTCCTAAGGAGTCCCCCCCCCCTCCCTCCCCCTCCCTTCTAAGAGTGCTACCCCTGCTCTTACACCTGCTTTTAGCTACAGCAACATCGTTGCGTCCCCTCGTCCTAGAAACTCTTTTAAGCTCTCTCCTTCGTCATCGCCTGATGATCCTCTGGACTTCAATGAAACCCATGTTAATGCAGCTGAGGATGAATGGAGGTTGTCGTTGATCGGCTACTCTATCGGTAGACGCCACTATTACGAATTCTTACTTTCTACTATCCGAAAGGCTTGGAAATTCAAAGGTATGCTAAAATTACTCTCTTTAAGCGATGGATTTTTTATGCTGAAATTTTCGACACCTGAGGATTACGACATGGGTTTGACTGGTGGTGTCTGGTTCTTTCTTGGCAAACCCTTTGTTCTGTAAAAATGGTTTCCGAACTTCAAACCTGTTAGAGAAGAGTTTTCATCTATCCCAATTTGGTTTAAAATTTTGGATTTGCCTTTACAGATTAATATTCTGAACAAAATAATATCGCTAAACTGCTAAAGTACCATTATGAGCATTAATAACAATTTGTTTAGTGTAAGTGCTCTTCATAGACTTCACAGGCTTAAATTTTGTCCATCATTTTGAATAAGTGGGACATATATTGTCAAATGCTTTGCTTACTAGTATATTATTCAATATTTTAAATATGGTATATCTAATATCTTAATTGTAATTATTATTTATATAATATTTTATATCTTAATCACATCAAATAGATAGTTAAAAAGATATATTTTATTAAAAATGTTAATAATAATAATATTATTATTATTATTATGTGAAGTATATATATATATATATATATATATATATATATATATGTATTGTATTTGCCCCCCTCAAAGTTGAAGCTGGTTCTGCCCCTGCTAGTGGTCAGTGGCGGCGATGGGCAGTGGGTGGCGATGAGTAACAGGTGGATTGGTGGTGGCGGCAATGGCAATAGTGCTTAGACTAAATCTAATGATTTTTAAATGCCTCAAAATTAAACTAGATGAAAAATTTTATATACTTAGAAAATTTACTCTACATTTTTTTTTACTTCAAATCAAAAGTCAATATTTTCTAAACCATTATATTTTAAATACTTGATGCTCATTTTACTTCAAATTAAATATCCCCTAATTTATTAGTATAGATCAATTATCATCTAATCTTTTAATATACTATTTTGTACTATATTTTAATCATCAATAAATTTATTCACCGTTTTTTTAATTTCAGCTATAAAAGTCCTATTATGTTAATTCTTATTTTTTAAATACGGCATCGTCTCTTATTTAAAACTAAAATAAAAATTTAAGTTATCTTCATACCATTATAATTAACCATTGCATATTTTTTTTAATGAATAATAAGCAAAATACTTTTAACATTAATATATTTTATGTATTATTATACCTTAATATGCATTATATGATAATAAAAAATAATAATAATAATTCTTTTTTTCACAGGGAATATAAGAAAACCTGATTAATAGTTTCTTTTTAATAAATAAGTTAAAAAGAAACAGATCTTTATGGAATTTTTAGAATATTATAGCTCCCAAATATTCGAACTACAAGTTTTAGAATCTATTTTAGGAACATCCAAACTTTTTTTTAGCAAATTGATAATGTCGATAAGAAAAATTCAATATGACTAACTATATCATTATCTAAGACTAAATGAACCTAGATGTATCACTCAGAAGAATTATTAAAAATTTCATGAGATTATTTGAGGGACTAATCGGTCTTTAAGAATTAATTATTTGTGATCAAAATTTGACAAGCCCAAAACCTCATGATTATAATATCATAAATGTACCTTGATATATATCTAAAAATATACTTTATGATCAAGGGGGGTCAACTTTTACCATATGACGGAGTGTCATGATTTTTATCAAAATGATTGACATGCTCCCTCTATACATTTATAAATTATAAATAGACTACTTCTACACGTTGATGGAGATTCCAATGAAGCCCTAAGTGAATTTCAATGGAAAGGATTACGAAATTTTATTAGGTGCGGAGTGCGGACAGGGTGAGAACCGTCCGCACAGACACAGGGTACCAAGCGGTATCCAGTGGTACCGAGTAGTACCAAACGATACCGAGCGCGGTTTTATACTAGTGTGGGGACGGTTCTCCCGTCCGCACTCCGTACCTAATAATTTCTCAAGGATTACAAGATTAACAGCTTGGCAACTAGCACAAACATTCAGTGGCACCTACCATCAATGTTTATCATAGCTATCAAGGGCGACATCCATCATCACAAGAAAGGTTGGAACCCATTTCCACAAAAGCAGACCTCATTATTGCCAAGAAGCCCAATACTCATCAACAACACCAACAATGATGTCATCCAGTCTCAC